ATATAGAAATATTTGTCAGTGTGTGTGTGAGAGTCACCTGGATCCTGCTGAGCATGCTGGGATTGAAGATGTAAATGCCGGCGTTGATCTTATTGGACACAAAGACCTGCGGTTTCTCAACGAAGCGATGTATCCTGCCGCTGTCGGTCTCAAACACCACCACGCCGTACTTAGAGGGCTCCTCCACCCGTGTTACCTTCACACACACACACACACAATTACTTAGATAATCCCGAACTTTCATACAAATGGTCTAAAAATATAAATTAAAACTAATAAATGAGAAGTATCACACAGTTCTGTAATGACACTTTGAGTCAAATCAGTCAGAAGTCATCTGATTCTGTCTAAGACAACTCAAAATGTCCTCGACCTGTACAGATTCACTCTTTTATAAAACACTTCGTATCGTCTGTCTTTCTCACCACGATGGTTCCCTCCTTGCCGTGGTTGCGGTGGAACTGCAGCAGGTCTTTGAAGGGAAAATCACAGATGACGTCCGAGTTGAGGACGAAGAACGGCTCGTTGTCGATGTTCAGCAGCTCTCGAGCCAAAGCCAGCGGCCCCGCTGAAGCCAAACAGACACATTCATTTCTCACTATTTTCCTCATTTGTATTAATTACAGCAGGTTTTCAGCCACACTTCTAACGGATCTTCAATATAACTAAATCTCAGAAGCCTAAAGGGGTACAACTCCTAAGGTGTACCTTAGTTTGGGCCCTTTAGTTTCCATGAAGGGAAAACTTAATGCTACAGCGTACAATAATCAGGGTTCCCACTCTTTTTAACAAATCCTTTTCCAGGAGTTTTTCTTGACAATACAGGACACCACTTGCTTTCAAACGGTCAAATAAACTAATAAAACTACTACTAAACTACTAAAAATTGTCCAAAAGTAACAGTTCAAATCAAGTAGAATTTATTTTATTTTACAGTAAACTCCTCTTCTAGAAAGTTAAAGTTTTCATCACACGTACAATTAACATTACTGTACATGTATTTATCAACCACAGCAACAAAAAGATCACTGACCAACAGTCGAGTTTTAAACAAAATAGGATGAATTTCCAGGTGTTTTCATGAATTTCCAGCTTTTAAAGGATGCGTGGGAACCCTGATTATATCTCAAGCAATAATGAACTGCCCTAACCTGCACATAGCCCTGACTTTAAACCCATCCGACACATTTGGGATGAGCTGGAAGTCCGACTGTGAGCCAGATCTTATCACCGAACAACATCAGTGGCTGACCACATTAATATTCTTGTGGAGTTCCCCAAGGGTCGATCCTCGGGCCTCTTTTATTTAGCATTTACGTGTTTCTAAGGAGCCAAATAATGCCAAACAATCACGTCCCCATAAATCCTCCACCAGTGACTGCATGTACAGAAACTTCCTTCAGATAAATAAAGACAAAAGATAATTGTCTTGCAGCTAATATTAATGTTGAAGATGCAATAATTCAAACTGTATACTGTATTAGAGTTGGGTGATATGATGATACGTAGAGTGAAAAGACTGTCAGACAGTAGGGACTCTGACCTACTTCCTTTATTGTTGTTATGTGTTTATCTTTTTAGCATCTCTGGTTGTATCAGATGATCAACAATGTGGGAAATCAGTGAGCAGGAATATTTTATAACAATAATGGAAACACAGTATGTGATAAAATACCTTTATCCGTCATGTACACAATGTATGAGATAATAGCTGTTACACTCTGGTTTTCCAGGCTCTAACCATTTCAATTAAAACAAACCTTTCCTGTCTGTCTGGATTTGTCTGTAGTGAAGAGAAACTCACCTGTTCCCAGAGGCTCTTTCTCATGAGACAGGGAGATATGGATCCCGAGCTGCGGAGAAAACAGCGAAACATTCAGAAACAGATTGAAGAATAAACACCAGAGTGGATAAAAACTCTTTAACAGCTGAACTGCCAGGAGGACAATAAAGAGCCTTTATACTGACACCAACACGATTCAGCTGAAAGCCTTCGTCTTTGTCAGATTCCATTTTCAAATGTATATAAGTATTAAAACCACTTAAAGGCTGCAACTAATGATCAATCTGATGATTATTTGTTGATAAAACGTGTCCAAAACACAAAGATATTCAGT